TGGACAACTTTATTTATTAACATACAATCGAAATCACATTTCAGTACAATTAGAATACCACCACAAATAACTTAGAATTTTTTTCTTTTTTTTTATGACTATGAGACATATCAGCTCCTGGCATTACCAATCCACTCCAGAGAAGATATGGGCATTTAAGAAACTGCATATGGAGTTAACTTTCATTGTGGCAAAAGTTAGCCAATGGACAACAAAGTATCCTCAAATCAACTGCTGACAAACAGGACAAAATGGACAGACAGGACAGGAAACAAAGGACTACCGATCCTTGCCAAGACAAGTGTGGTTGTGGCTTTAGCAAAAGGCATCCTCTGAGGCCAGGACAATATGGCACTATCCCTGAAGTGGCCTTTGCAATCTGGAAAAGACACAGTACCCTTTTCTTTGAAGGCAGCTGAACTGGCAGTGGACCCATGGCTTCTTATGTGCAGTCGAACAGCAACTAAAACAGTTATTCTTGAAAGAGTAACTAAGCTGACAGGGTCTAACCTCTCAATGGTAGACTGGCATTTAATAAACGAGTTGAAGCCACCCACAAGCTGAAAAGAATGGGATGCAGAGAAAAACAGGATGCCGAGATAAAGCCCTACACAAGCCAAGAAGAATGGACAGCTGAATTAAAAAAACATCAGCAATTTCCAGAATTTAAATCCTGAATCATGACAGGACACTAGTGGAATACAGGTGTTTCTGGCACATGGACTACTCTCACCAAATGTGAGGTTGAACTATAAGCCTTGTGTACATCCTACTTCACAAATGAGTCTGTCAGATATGCTAACCCTATAGGCTGAAAATGATGACCCAGTGCTACGGAGAAACCTCAGGTGATTGTCCAGGCAGCTGGTTGTTTCTGTCAACTCACAACTTTTTTGGAAGCCACTTGCTTGCACTTCCTCTATTTATTTTTTATTTATTTTTTTTTTTAGGTAATATTATTTCCTTCTTGGGTCTCTGAGGGAGTTGAAGATTAGATAGTTATAGTTTAGATTCTTATAGTTTTCCTTGTTAAGAATTTTAGAAAAGAAACTCACTAAAGAAGTGTAAGTGTATACATTTGAAAGACATTATAAAATAGTTCTGTTAGTAATATAAGTTAGGATAGAAAGTGAATCAGGCTTTTATGGGCACAGGGGCGAGGAGGGCAGCTGGCCCTCATCGATGCTGTTGCAAGACAGATGAGTAATGGGGACAGCTCTCCCATGCTCACAAATTTGAAGCTGACTCAACCACACCTGTGCTAACAGGTTTGGCCTCATTGTGCTGCACTGGTGAGGTACAGGTATGTTCCAGCATGTGGGGGTCAGGGCCAGATCTTCCACTCTTGTTACTTCAGGGTAGGCTTTCCCACCTGCCTTAGGCATTGATGAGTGGGAGCAAGGGAAGAGCATCTGCCCATGCCACCAAGGGTCAGGTGAGGGCTAAGGCTAGGTTTCCCATGTTCAGGTTCTCAGGGTTGGCTCACCTATGCTCTCAACACCAGGGTCATCTCTGCTGTGCTACCCAGACAATGTGCATGGCTCCTTTCCGGTGTGTTGTCACTGGTCAAGGGGTCATTTCCCTCACCACTCAGCCAGTCCCTCTTCTTTTGTCTCTTCAGATGTGCCCCTGTCCACAGGACCTGAACCATTCTGTCTATTCTCCACCCCCATAAAACACCATATCATACCATACCACACCTTGTTCCCTCTAATAGTGTCCATCTGGGTGGTGCTGCAAGACACCATGTGGGCCCTTGTTTTCCCCTGGGAGTAAAGGGTAGACAGCCCAAGGTCTGTCTGTGGGTCTACTTGCTCCATTCAGATTGCCATGACAATGGGCTGGGTCATGCTTCCTCATCAAAAAGAGATCATTATACTGCCCAATTGCCCTGTACCATAGTGTTGGGTGGGTTGCTCGTTGGTACATTTGACTGAGTTTCATCAACACAGGCCACATGGCATGGGGTGGGTGCTTTACTACAGTACAATGGGGCAGGGTTAGGGTACCTAGCTCCTGCTTGACTAAGGCCTGCCCACCTTGGCCACATGGCATCGGATGGGTCAATATTTTTTATAAAGATAAAAATATAAGTTTATATATTTTAGATTAGAAAGGAAAATCTCATCTCATATTTGCAGTTAGAGAAGCTGCATAGAGATACAGAGTTCTCAGAGAGAGAAAAATAAATTTTAGTACGAAGAAGATTAAAAAAAGATGAATTTTGCTTCCTTGACTGCATCACTAGATGGAAGAAGAAATTAAGAAAACAGAACAGTTTTCTGAAAAAGTGCCATATTGATTTCCAAAGTGGTTGTACAAGTTTGCATTTCCAAAAACAGTGGAGGAGTGTTCCCCTTGTTCCACTTCCTCTCCATAGTCAGGGATCTTGATACCTCCAGAGGCTGTTTTATTGTACAGGATTGTTTTGGCTATCCTGGGTTTTTTGTTTTTCCATATGAAGTAAAGTATTGTTCTTTCTAGGTATGTGAAGAATTGTGTTGGGAATTTGATAGGGATTTCATTGAATCTGTGGATTGCTTTTGGTAAGATTGTCATTGGGAATCAACCTCCCTCAAGACTCAGTTTTACCACAAGGACACATGCTCAACTATGTTCATAGCAGCATTATTTGTAATAGTCAGAACCTGGAAACAACCTAAAAGACCTTCAACTGAAGAATGGATAAATAAAATGAGGTAATATACACAATGGAGTACTACTCAGCAAAGTAAAACAATGACATCATGAGGTTTGCAGGAAATGAATGGAACTAGAAAATTCTAAATCATCCTGAGTGAGGTAACCCAGACTCAGAAAGACAAACATGGTATGTACTCACTGATAAGTGGATACTATATGTAAAGCAAAGGATAACCAGACTGCAACTCACAGCTCCAAGGAGGCTACCTAGTAAAGAGGACCCTAAGAAAGACACAGGAATCACCCAGTGACAGAGAAATGGATGAGATCTACATGAGCAAATGGGGTGGGGGGTAATAGAGGGCAAGGATCGGGGGAAAGAGAGATTAGGGGAGCGGGAGGTCCCAGCTGGATCAGGAGCAGAGTGGGAGAATGGGAGGGAGATACCATGATGAATGAAGACCCAAGTGGAATAGAGAAGTCCCCAGAAATCCACAAAGATGCCTCCACTGTAGACTACTGGCAATGGTTGAAAAAGTGCCTGAGTTGACCTGCTCTGGTGATCAGATGGCCGAACACCTTGGCTATCCTAATAGAATTCTCATTCAGTGTGTGATGGAAGCAGATGAGGAGATCCATGGCCAAGCCCCAGGTGGAGCTCAGGGAGTCCAATCGGGGAGAGAGATCAGGGATTGTATGAGTGAGAGATATTGAGACCTTGATTGGAAAAAGGACATGGACAAATAGCCAAACTAGTGGAAATGCAGGAACTATGAACCAATGGCTGAGGAGCCCCTTGGATCTGGACCAGGCCCTCTGGATAAGTGAGGCATTTGATTAGCTTGAACTGCTTGGGAGGCCCCAGGCAGTGGAGCCACTGTCCTTGCTGCAAGGGGCTGGCTTTTTGGAGCCTGGGGCTTATGCTGGGACACTTTGTTCAGCCTTGGTATAGGGAAGAAGGGACTGGACCTGCTTTGGCTGAGTCTACCAGGCTGGGCTGACTCCCCAGGGGAGACCTTGCCTTGGAGGAGGTTGGAATGGTGTGTGGATTGGGGGGGGAGGGCTGAAGGGTGGGAGGTGGGAGGATAGGGGAATCCGTGGCTGATGTGTGAAATTAAGTTAATTATAAAATAAAAATATATTAAAAAAAGAAAACTGAACAGAAAGAAAAGAAACTTTAAATGTGATAAATTTTCTCCACTCACTAGAAGTGCCTTCCTCCTAAAGTAGGTGTCTACCTAAGGGCTTAACTACATTTTCTGGAGAAACTATTATGGCAAGCTCTGAGGGTGTGCATTTGAAAGAGAAAAGGGATGGGTATATGAGAGAGTTTAGGCAAAGAATAAATGATGTAATTATATTATAGTCTTAAAATAAAGAGGTAATTAGAAAAATTTAAAGAGAATAGCTTATGTAAATCACTCCCACAACCCTAATTTTCTTCTCAAACAAAAACTATACTCCAAGGAAGATCTATGAGTGTAGTGTGACCCATGTGCACTACATTTCAAAGAACTTCCAGATTTGTTTAATTTACACAGGATCATGTGTGATCATGGTGGGGCAAACTTCAGGCTCTATTACTTCCGCTTTAACAATGTAGACTCGCTAGACCAAGAGCCTTCATTCAGTGTTGCAGTTTGGGTAGTGATGAGGTCATTGTTCATATATTTGGTTGTGGCATGGTTAGAAAAGAGTGTCCCCAGTGAATAAATTATAAATGTTGATAATTTCCTCATCTAAGGATGTTGGAGGAGAGTTTCAAATATCAATGAAATAGGAATATGAGTGCCATTTATCATGCAAATCCTACTACTCAACCTAGCCGAGCTCAGAAGACAATTTTGATAAAAACCCTGGGAAAGGGAGTTATGACTGAGAAAATAGACCATGAATGTTTCTGTTATCACTCTTTACTGTTAAATGGGGCCTTACAGTAGATAAATATCACAGAACCAGTAAATATCAATGAAAATTAAGAATGGGGTTTAGGTGGCAGGAGTCAATAGCAAATACTCATTTTCAAATGACATAGTTTGTTGTGCCTAAATAATGAATAAGATAGTTGAAACAGATATCAAGATATTCTGACCTGAATAGCCTTGTGGCTCACCTCATTATAACAAGCATTTCTAGAGTGAGACACAAGAATTAGTACCGAATAAGCATTAGAGAGAGTAAATGTGTGTTATACCAGTAGTGCAATTATAACCTAGACAGGGTTAAGTTTCTCCATTATATGGTTCTTATTTCTGCTTCCTTCAATGCCACACCATAGATGACAGTTGTTTTAATCCCCATGCTGTAAATGTTCTATATGGAATCAATAAAAATGTACATTGAAACCTTTCCTCATTTTCACAGAAATATATTTATTTGTCTTCTGAATGAATTTTTCTATTGAACAGTCCCCTAATAGCATCTTTCATTTGAGCATTTCTCAAGGTATAGATTAAAGGGTTTAACATGGGAGTTATCATTGTATAGAATACAGCAACTGCCTTATCAATGGGTAATGTAATTGCAGGCCTCATATACACAAAAATGGAAGGCACAAAGAATAAGACAACCACTGTGATGTGGGAGACACAAGTGGAGAGGGCTTTGTGCCTCCCTTCTGCACTGTGGTTTCTTAGTGAGCACAGGATAACTGTGTAGGAGCCCAGAAGAAGAGTAAATGTTAATAGACAGATAAACCCACTGTTGGCAGCAACAAAGAGACCCAGAATGTGAGTATCAGTGCAGACCAGTTCAAGCAAAGGGTTAAGATCACACATAAAGTGATCTATGACATTAGGGCCACAGAAAGGTAAATCAATAATGAACAGGATCTGTATGATTCCATGAAGAAAGCCTCCCATCCATGACACTCCCACTAGTAGGTTACATACTACTCGGTTCATGATAGTTGCATAGTGCAGTGGCTTGCAGATGGCCACATAGCGATCATAAGCCATCACGGTAAGCAGGATGACTTCAGCAGCTGCAAAGAAATGCTCTCCAAAGACTTGGGCCATGCAACCATTGAACTGGATAGTCTTTTTTTCATGAAGTGAATCAAAAATCAGTTTAGGGTTATTGACAGAAGAATAGCAGGCATCAATAAAGGAGAGATAGGCAAGGAAGAAATACATAGGGGACCCTACCAATCGACTGTGTGTAATGGTGACCAGAATGAGCAAATTTCCAGCAACAGAGAGTATGTAGATGACCAAAAACACCACAAATACAATTGCCTGCATGTTTTGATTCTGTGTGAGCCCCAGGAGAACAAATTCTGTCACATTCCTCTTCGCCATCTGCTTCATGGAAAAGTTAGTCACATTGCCAGGAAAAATAATGCATCCTCAACTTCATTTAATTTCTTCATTCTCATAATTAATATTTAGATGCTGCTCGGTTGTGAAATTTTGTAGATATTGTTATTGTTGTTTCTCATATACAAAATACAGTTCTTCATACTTTGTGTTAGTCAAGTTGACTCATGGATGACAGGATGAAGATGCGTGCAAAGAATACAAACATCAACATCGTTGTAGACAAAGCTGGAGGTGGAGGATTTCAAGGAGGTAAAGAGTCAAAGTAATGACCACCACGGTGAAGCTAAAGATTTCTTTCTTTAACTTATGAAATGAGGAACCATAAAAGGTAATTAAAAATATAACTTCCAAACAAGCAAGTCATTTGAATAAGAGGAAACTCTGGGAACCAACATAGTAAGCTGACTTTTGTGCCTTGGAAGAAACAGAATTGAGTTCATTTCTCCATCAAATCTAAGAAAGGAAACTGAGGCATTAGACTATTTATCAAGTTTTCTTTTCATCACTTAATAAAGGTATTTTTGCTTTGCAAGGAACAAATACAAATAAGTTATGAGTCTATCTTTTTCAAACAAATTAAGAGGATCTGGAAAAATATTCATCTTGATATACCTATCCAGAATAAATATTAATGAGTAATTAGAATAGCCTAACTGAATATAAAGAAGATCATGGTAATAATAAAAATGATTTAATAAAGGAATAAATGTGTTATTATAAACTAATCCATAATAATTGATAGTATATGTGAAAGCCTTGTAATAGCTATAAAACGTATTTCTTCTGTGTACTGCACATTATTTCTCATTTCTTTTAATTCTTTTAATAACCTGTGTAGATGCTGCTATTTATTTTATTTTTTACATTTTAAAATTTTTATTAAATTTTTACTTCCATAAAATATATTTTAATCATATTCTTTTCGATTTCCCATATTTCCCCCACCCAACATATCTCTCTTTCAAAAACAAACAGACAAATAAGCAAACAGGAAAAAACAACAAAGAAGCAATAAACAAAAAGTGAATCACAAAATAAGAGTAATTTAAAACACTAAAGGCCGATTTTGAAAAAGTCAGTAAGACAAAAATTACCAAAACAAAACAAAAACCACATATGCATTGTACCATGGAGTTTGTTTGTGTTGATCAACTTTTCCAGGGTAAGGGGCCTGGAGTGTGGTTAACATATCCAGTGCCACTTCACTGGAGAAAACTGATTTTCCTTTCCCCAGCAGGGTTCAATTGCAAATAGCTTCTTGTTTAGGGATGGGACTTTGTGTTCACTTCTTCTAATAGAATAATTTAAAGGAACAATTTCCAAACTAGAGTAAAAAGCAAAAAGAAAACTCATTGAATCCGTAAAAAACAAGATTAACAACATACACCTTGACAGACATTATGTCCTAATAAATACAGTGTCTTTTAGTTAGGACTTGGCAGCCTGTTTGGGGCACGGATCACGGTTTCTGTCCCTACTAATCATCTCTTAAGACTCCATTATACCACAAGATCAAGGCATCCACTGGTAGTAGTATATATCCTTGAACTATTTTCTGACTGAAGACTTCATTGAAAAGGTAAAGTATAGCTACTTGAGAATTAATAAGTGAATAAATAATTCAATTAATTAAAAGCCAAATTTTTTAAAAAGCATCCTCAACCTTTGATGCTAATTGTTTATCATCCGACTGTGTTTGCCACATCTAAATACAGGCTAAGAAAGCAGAAATGAGCTAGAAGCTAACTGAGACAAAGTGAGTAAAAACAGGGAAGCAAAAAATGAGTGTAAAGGAATGAAATGGGAGATTTTTCACTCATCAAGTGGGTCTAAGGCTGTTTGCATCTCATCAAACTGAAGTTTATTATATGACTTGTAATTTATAGGTGGAGGAAATTAAGTAAGAGACAAACCCATGTCAGAAAATTTGCATGAACACTTTGGCAAACTTCTGTCTATAGATCACTTTGACTGAATATTGAGTGGAAAGGCTTCTGTGCCAGTTTCTTAGCTTAATATTTCAACAGTGCAACATTTCCTGAAGCTCTAAATTTAGCAAGCACCTCCTTTCCTCAAGAAATTCACAAGGGCAATTGGGACTTTCTATTATTTAGTTTTCCTGTTTCATAAAAATGAATCCCATGTAGGTATGTAGAGTGAATCCATTGGGTTACAGACCACAGGCCTTCTTGTTACACGTCATGGTCCTTTTGTGAAATACATGCTATCACCATCAGGAATAGAAATTCCTCTTTTCATCTACTCCAGGGATTCACAACATTTATAACACAAACCATTGATGATTGGATGTCATTTTCCTTCCTTACATATTTCCTATCTATCTATAAAATCTATAGGCTCTCTGTGTCCTCTCCATCAGATTAAGGGGAGCATGCCACTATAAGGACTTCTCATTTCCCATTCAGATTTGTTCAGAGACCTTGCCAGGAAGGCTTGAATTTGTTTAATTTGTCTGACATTGACTTGCAATCTCCTGTCTACCTACCAGTAGACTGTAATAATAAATAATATTTGTTGAGCTACTTCCATATTCCATGCCTGTAAGTTTCATTCAGTTCAATGCTTAGTCAATGTGAGCTGGTGTTCACTTCTGTGCTAGATAGTCAAATTCTACTCTTATATAGTCAAATTATCACATTTTTCCCCTGAGACATAAAGTAGAGGCCATCAGTTTGGTTTTTCCTATCACTTATGCTTTAGTTATCCCATTCTCCATTATTTTTAGAAGAATAAAATCCACCTACACGAGGAATACTTCTAAGCAAACACCCCTTCAATTTTTTTCATTGCTATCTTTGGATTTTATTTTTTGCTCCCTTTGACTGAGATACACTATTAGGAGATGAGAGGAACAGCCCTTTTCCTTCTGAAAAGTCTGAAAATGATGGGTTCTAGGAAAAATTGCTAGAGTGCCTTTCAAATAAATAGTATGCTGGAGTAAAGGAACTTCAGCAGAAAGAAGCTGCATACCAAATGTCAGCTGAGAAAACAGGCATCTCAGTCTAATGGCAGCTAAATTTGAACTTTACCAAAGGCACCAGAGGTACCAGTGGCACTTCCTCAGGCTGTTCTATAAGGGACAGGGTGTCTGCAGTACAGATTGCTAGTTTTAATTTGTTCAAATATGTTTTTGTGACAGCTGGCTACAGAGGTGGCCAAGGGACAGAGTCTCTGGGGGCATTAAAAAAAGGTTATTTATCTATTTTTAAAGGTAAGGAAATGATGGATAGGACCATGAATAGGATCAAAGTAGTATTAAATAAAATGACAATACTTACTCTCTTTTAGTAGTAGTTTCTTACAGGTATTTGTTTATTCAATCCCACTTGTAATCAAAGTTGCTAATTAATATCATTATTTTTCTACAGTTTTTATAGTTATTTTATATAATATAAAACCAGGAAACTTAAAGTTCCTATGCTGGAAATCAGAAGAAAAATGATAATTTTGATTATTATTCTTCTTACTTAATTTTGTCTGACAATTTTTAACAAGTGTTATTCCTCAAATTCTTACCATTAAAACTATACTCCATAATTGTCATTTTATACAAATGTTGGTTCGTAATTTTCTCTGAATGTGCTTATAATACTTTATTGCATTTTATATGATTTGAGTGATAACTTCATATGACCAATTTTGTCAATGAACATGTTGATGCATCATGACATATTTACATTCCAAGTACTAAGAAATTCATGCTTTGGATCCCTGGAATTGTTCTTTTATCCTGGCCTACATTAATGTCACTTTTCTCTAACATTATTATAAAGTGGGGGGTCTTAGAATTCTTTTGTAATCCATTAAGAACTACAGTAGCAGTGGCCGAACACATCCATTCAAGAATTGTGAGGAGCAAGTAAAAACTTGGTTTCCCTCTGTCTTTCCTCTCACCTTACATTCATTTCCTGGCACCACATGAAGCTGCTTCATCATCTGTCTATTAAGTGAAACCTGCCTTATAATTTACAGTGAGAATTGGTTAAAATAGAAAAACATGCACAACATACAAGTACAAGCCTTTAAGTTAATTTTTGCAAAGATGTATACACTTACCAGATCAGCATGAGTGAGTGACCAAAACATGGAGAAACATTTGACTCTGTCATGAACTCAAGAAGAATCCTCCCCAACCTTACTTTCTAAGAAGTCAAAAAGATAGGTCTTACAGTGAGTTATCTGTGTTTGTGCTTAGAATCAAGGACTTAACAATAATGCAATTAATACTAATCTTTGGGAATTATGAGTGACAGGTACAACTAATCATTTTTATCCTCACAATTTGTTCTCATTAGTTCTCGTTATTCTTATTAATAGAAGTGTCTAAAGGCAAAGTAATATTTCATATAATAAATAGGTGGGTCTTATTAATTGCTTGATTTCTATTAATTTCACATTATCTAATGATAATAATAAAATATTTATGTGTTGAATTTTAAAAATTAGAATGAAGAGAAAAACTTATCTGACAGTATTTGACAAACATTAAGAAGTGATGATTCCCATATGTGAAAAACCACAGTATCTAATAAGCACATTTGAGAAACATACCTTAGCAGTTGGAAATGATCTTGACCATGGTTGTGAGTGTTCAGTGTTCACATCAAAACCACCTTCAGTGAGACACTCCCCCCAGAGAAAAGAAACTTTTACTATGAAAAAATATGAATACATTTGCAAAGAAAGTCCTTAGATAATTTACTATCAAATAGACATGTGTTAAGGAAGTGTCTCCATAAGAAAAATCTTCCTCTGTTCCCCCCAAATTAAAATTATTTCAAAGAAAGCATGAACTATGATACTTGTAGGGCACTATGGAGAAATAATATTTGTTTCCTGATTCTGGTCCTACAAGGAAGGAGGTAGCAAAACTGCAAAAAACATTCAAATCATTCCACTCCTGGTCAGTCTTTCAGTGAGGAAACATCTGTGCCCTACATTAAAAGAGTATTTAAAGCCGTATGCTTCCAGATTTCAGCAGTTTTGTATCTGAAACTTGTCTCCCAGGAATTCATTATCTCCTGTGATGGAAAGAACTTCTCTTAGAAGCTGGTGTTCTACAAATCTCTGTTTGACACTCACTGGGTTTTCAGCTGAGAGCTGAGTTCCCTGTTCCTGGAAAGTTGTTATTACATTTTTTTATGTGAGCTTTTCTTGTTAAGAATCTACATACTAGCAGTACTTATTACATAACCTGGAACTTGCCATATTATACTGAGGCTGTCCAGAGATACTCCTGTCTCTGCCCCAGCCTCTAGTCATCCCTTAGTGCTGGGGTTACAGGTGCATGCAGCCACTACCAGCTTTCAAGTTGATGTTGATGATAGAACTCATCCTTCTACTACATGCTTCCACCCCCTGGCCCTCTAGGAAAAGTTTTCTAATAAAATGAACTAACATTGATTTTTATCTATTTTAAACTGATTGTTTGAACAAAGATATGTATTATCATGAAGTTATGTTTTATTTAAAATACCTTATTTAAATATCTTATTTAAAATACCTCTCCTATGCATGTATCCTATGTCTTGCAACTAATTGAGATTATTTTGGGCAAAATAATATGCAGCAAGAATTTTAATGGCATGGGGAATGTTGATGTGCCACACTGAATACAAAATGCAAGATGAGAAACAATGTCACAAATAGGTGTGTCTTCAAACACACACACACACACACACACACACACACACACACACACACATACACACACACACACACATCTGAGTAAAGAAAAATGGCAATGATTTTATACTCACCACTGTAAAACTCTCTATTTTACTGCATTTGGAAATTTTTTATGTTACCTGAAAGAGTAGTTTTAAAAATCAATTTTAATTTTGAGACCAATTGTGCATTACCTAAACACCAGCAAAGTCTGTCTACTGAGAAAAACAGCTTTTATTTTAGCCATTATTTCCACCATTCCCCACCCATTCCTTTTCTTACCTCTGACTGGAGATACATTATAGCAATACTGTTATATCAAGTATGGTCAAGTGCTGATGAAGAATTTGTAATGAAACATATTTAGGAATAACTTTAGACATTTAGAAAACCCGAGGGAAAAACATTCCCAAATAAGTCACATACAATTTCTCCTTTGTCAAAACTTACATTCTCATAGTTCATTTGTTATAATTCAGAAACTGGCATTAAGACAGCCCTATCAACTGAACTCTAGAATATATTTGGATTTCATCAGATTTATTATTATTATCATTATTATAATTACCAGTCTTTCTGTAGTCAAGAATATGAACCAAAACATCACACTACATTTTGTTCCTGCTTTCCCTATAAGTCTTCTCACATCCTTAACATTTCTCAATTTTACAGGCTTCTGGTGTTGTTTAAGCCAATAGGAATCAGGTACAATACTGAATGACCCTAATCTGAGCTATTTGTTTTTGGATAATATTATAGAGATGGAAGGTATTAAGTTGAATCATATTACCTCATATAACTTCAGTATCACAGTCAATCAACTGGTTAAAGTGTCTGCCATTTCACATCACAAGAAAGTTGCTATCTTCCCTTTCCCTAATCTGTATTTTAAAAATGAGATACTAAGTCTAGTTACTCTCAGTGCAGATCTATGTGAGTTGAGTCTCACCTTGTCTAAGATTAGTAATTAGGGATTTTTTTGCTTAAGTATATTTTTCATTTCATTAAAAATATTTTTTCATATAATATATTTGGATTATGGCTTTCCACCCAGCAACTCCCTCTTCTTCTGTACACCCACTGTTATAGATCCATACCCTTTCTGTATCTCTTAAAAAAGAAACAGGCATCTAAATAATAATAACATTAAAATAAGACAAAGTGAAAGAAAACCAAACATCTCAGAAGAGGACAAATAAACAAACAAACAAAAACGAGCCAAAGAAAAAACTTTAGAAGCCCATATATATGCAGAGACACATGTTTGTACACATAGGAATCCCATAAAAACACAAAACTAGAAGCCATAAAATATGTTAAAAGGACATATAAGACAAGAAAGAAAGAAAGAAAGAAAGAAAGAAAGAAAGAAAGAAAGAAGGAAGGAAGGAAGGAAGAAAGGAGGAAGGAAGGAAGAAAGGAAGAAAGGAAGGAAAGAACAAAAGAAAAAGAAAATAAGAATGGTGGGAGGGAAGGAAGAGGAGAGGGAGGAAGGAAGGGAGGGAGGGAGGGGGTGAGGGAAGGAGGGAAAGAATGTGACATAATGAGACAAAGGACCTTCAAAGATGGCATTGAGCTCACTTTGTATTGGCCATCTATTTCTAGAAATGGTCCTACCCTTAAGAGTGGTTTGTTTTCCCACTGAGACTTCCTTGGAGAAAACTAACTTTTCATTTGAAAGTGGTTATCAATTGAAGATAGCTTCTGGGTTAGGTATGGCTGTTTCTGTCCACTTCTTTCAGCTCTAGGACACCATGTGGTGCAGACCCATGTATACTACCTCAGTCTCTGAGTTTATATGTGTGGACATCAGCTGAGTTTAGATTGCCTTGGTGTCTTCCATCCTCTCTGGTTCTTATACTCTTTCTAACTTCTCTTCCACAGAGTTCCCTGAGCCATGAGAGAGGGGAGAGATTTAAGAAAACATCCCTTTTAGGGTTGAGGGTGCCAAGGTTTATCACTCTCCATATATTTCCTGGCTGTGGATCTCTATATTTGTCTTCATCAGCTATGGGAAGAAGCTTCTCTGATGAGTACAGCAGAATGTGGTTAGGAGTCATTTTATTGCTGTGTTTCTTTTAGAAAACAGTAGTATTAGTTTTCTTCTATTTAGTCTCAGGTTCTTGGCCATCTAAGTAGTATCAGATGGGTTGACTCTCATGGAAAGGGTTTTAAATCAAATCAGATATTAATTGGTTGTGGTGGTATTGTGTTCCCCAAAATATTGTGTACCTTAATAAACTTATCTGGGGTCAGAGAACAGAAAATCCACTAGTTAGGCAGTGATAGCACACGCCTTTAATCCTAACATTCCAGAGGCAGAAATCCATCTGGGATCTCTGTGAGTTCAAGGCGACATTGGAAACAGCCAGACATGGTGACTCATGCCTTTAATCCCAGGAAGCAAGCCTTTAATCCTAGGGAGTGATGGTAGAAAGCAGAAAGGTATATAAGGCGTGAGGACCAGAATCTAGAAGCATTTGGCTGGTTAAGCATTTGGCTGGTTAAGCATTTGGCTGGTTAAGCTTCAGGCTTTCGAGCAGCAGTTCAGCTGAGAGCCATTGGGATGAGGACACAGAAGCTTTCAGTCTGAGGAAACAGGACCAGCTGAGGAACTGGTGAGGTGAGATAGCTGTGGCTTGTTCTGTCTCTCTGACCTTCCAGTATTCACCCCAATAACTGGACTCGGGTTTGATTTTATTAATAAGAACTTTTAAGATTCCTGCTACAGTTGGTTACTCCCACAAGATTAGTGCCATTATCACATCAGCATATCTTTCAGGTAGGTCTTCATTGCAGCAAGGTTGATGTTTATCTTTCTTCTTTGTTAGCATGTGAAGTACCCTCCAGTATCATGAACATTAGTCCATATGGTTGAAGGCTCTATGCTGTGGAATGGTCTGTATATCAAATGTGTTGCTCTGATTGGTCAATAAATAATACACTGATTGGCCAGTGGCCAGGCAGGAAGTATAGGTGGGACAAGGAGAGAGGAGAATGCTGGGAAGTGGAAGGCTGAGGCAGGAGACACTGCCAGCTGCCGCCATGACAAGCAGCATGTGAAGATTCCGGTAAGCCATAAGCCACCTGGCAAGGTATAGATTTATAGAAATGGATTAATTTAAGATGTAAGAACTAGATAGCCAGAAGCCTGAGCCATTAATCGAAACAGTTTAAATAATATAAGTGTCTGTGTGTTTATTTTATAAGTGGGCTTTCGGACTGCTGGGACTTGGCAGGACCTGGAGAGCAAACTCTCCAGCTACAGCTCTAGATATCCACCAGCTTGACTTCCCAGTGTTCACCAAGTTGTATAGGTGTTGTCTTCAGCAATAGGACCTTACCTTCAGTTTGTGGAAAGTAACCAATAGCCTTGGCAATAGCCTGGGTTGTTTGGGTATTCCAACGGAACTCCTTTGGACAACAAATTAATTAGATGTATCCCTTTCCTGGTCCTGGAAGCTTCACTTCATGACAAGAGATGCCCAGCTGGGACTCTGTATCCTCATTATTTGGTGATTTCAATTCAATTACCTTCTTATATGTATATATTTTAGGAAGATTATTCTGTATTACATTTCCATACAACCTCTCAAATGGCCCTTTGTTTTGGCTGTTTCTTCCTTTCCCTATCTACTATCCCCCTTCCCATTTGATCCTCCCCCATCCCTATTTCTCCTTCCTAGGAGATATATTTGCACCCATTTCCCAGTACCCCACTCTCTACCTATTCTCCGTGGCTATACTGATTGTAGCCCCTTATCAATAACTAACATCCTATACAACTAACATCCACATAAAAGCAAATGCGTACTGTGTTTGTCCTTCAGGGTCTGGGTTACCTCTCTTAGGAGGACTTTCATAATTCTATCCATTTACCGAAGAATCCCATTATTTCATTTTTAAAAGAGCTAAGTAATATTCCATTGTGTAAATGTACTATATTTTCCCTTACCATTCAACTTTTGACAGACATTTGGTTTCTGGCTATTAAAGATATATCAGCAATGAACATGGTTGAACAAGTATCTCTGTAGTAGGATATGATGTCCCTTGGGTTATATATCTAAGAACAAGTTATCTGGATGATGAGGCATTTCTGTGCCCACCCTGCTTACTGAGAAACAATGACACTGATTTCCATAGTTTCTGTATAAGTTTTCAGTCATGCCCACAATGGTTGAGTGTTCTCATCTCTCCACATCCTTCCCAGCATGAGCTGGCAT